TTGACATTTTTTTGTTTAAAAGTAAAAGTTTCGTCTCTCTATTTAGATTTTTTTTTCCTAAATTTAGATTCGAAGTATGATGTAAAGATCGTAAAATTCTTGATAAATTTAAAGTGAAAACAAAACTTTAAATATAGCATTCTTAATATTGACAAAATGCCATTTCTTCTATCTGTTAGAGGACGTGTCAAATATGAAAATGATACCAGATACCATCTCAGATAAAGATCTTGCAAAAACAGTTTCTTCCAAGTTTCTTCCAAGAAAAAAGAAATTGGACGGAGAAATAGTAAAGTCTTTTATTATGCCGTATTTTCTTTCAGGCCCTTTTCTTATTTAGCATCTTTCCTTTCTCACCGATATCTCATTCCCTTTCTTTCTAGTCTTCTCTCAAGTCCTTTCGTCTCTATCTTGCTTCTTCTTGCCCTCATAATTCGTCTTAGCATCTATATCTTTCTTACTCCTTTCCAACTTCCTGTATTGCAACTCTGATCATCTCTTTTTTTTTTATAATTAAAAAAAATATATGGTAAAGAAGATATTTCGATTCACTCAAATTTTGATAAAAATATATCGATGCGTTTTCTTATGAAAATGAAGAATCTACAAGAAAAGTGTCACTCTGCTCCGCGAATTGAGATATTTTAAGTTAAAGCTGACGACTATACAGGTTAGGAAAGCTGTCATGATCCGCAACACTTCAAAATATTTTCTTCTTGGTGTGTTGGCCAGCAACCCATAGGTTGAGAGTCACTGAGGTCCGCGGTATTAGTTATAAATTGTGAGGAGGTTACCAGTCTGCTAGAGTTTCAATCGAAATGATTGCCCTCCCTTGCTTTCAGAAGTCTGCTGCCACCCAGCAATAAGCCGCACGCCATAAGAGAGGAAGGAGAATTGTGTTACGTCCGCATCGGCATTTTTCCCTTTTCATCGCTGACCTGTGTCTCGAAATATCGCTCACCCAGGAAGCGAGCGTCGCAGCGACGAGTGCGTCGCTACATGAGAATGCTATCTTAAGAATCATCCCTCCTTGATTGCACAACCGATGCGTGGGAGTAGGAGGAAGGAACGCTACTCTTTGCAGAAGGAAGCTTCTTTCGTTCTGAATCCGGACTCCAACCGAGCGGTCAAGATGCCGTGGCTAGCTCCCGCTGCTAGCTTGTGTAAGCCACGTGTTTCTTTTATCCAATTCCAAATCTCGAATCCTAACAATTCACACTTCCATTCATTCGTACTTTACTAAATCTGCACTTCCACATCCTTGAATTCTTGGGGCAGTTCGCAATATCTCATTAATCTACTATTCTTAAGTTACCTTAACACATAATTCTAGAATACATAATAAATGCGTATGCTTTTGAGCTCGTTACAAGTGAATTTAATTAAACATAATTAATTATCTCGCATCCCTTCCATTTCGCGTTCATCCTTGGATTAATTCGAGATCGCGCGTTGGGTAATATTTTAATAATCAACTACGTATCCTACCAGAAGTCCGATATTAAACTCAATTATTTTGTAATTAATCATCTCGTAGTAATAGTAACAGCTAATGAGCCTTATTATTTTATATGAGCCTAACTATGTGGGCAAGAATTGTAAGGACCCTCATTAATAATAAATTTACACACGAATTGTAAATCCGAATGCAAATTATTTACGTCCCTCTCCTCGCTGCATTCCCTCGACTAATTGTGCGCGATAAACAAATCGCGAGTGAAGCAAGCCGTGCCAACCATCACGTGAGATCATAAGGAATCTTTAAGGCACGCTGTTGTTGGATAGAAGCTCCGAAGCATCCGAGCCGCTGGGCTCAAGGGACTACGAGATGGTTAAAATAAAACAACTTAGCGCATCGATTCACAACCGCGTTTAGCATTTTTTTGGCTACGTGAAGATCGGGCCGCCATATTGGACGCGCAGCGTCATCACCGCGCGACGTGTCTCTGCTCTGTGTGACCAATGACAGCGCGAAACCACGAACAATTCGAACACACTGCGCTATATCTGAGTGTGATGAGCTATGTATCCCGGTGCCGGAGCATATGCGAAAAGGGCGCATAACGTGCAAGATAACATCGTAGCGATTCATATGCCTGAAGTTCGTGACGAACTTTGTTAGTTCTCTTTGCCTCAGATTTATATAAATCGAGTTAGCCAAGACGTCCTATGTGACGTCTGTTACAGTGCAGCGCCATCGGACAGAGAACGGGGCACTATCACGCCGCCCGTCATTACCTACATATCGGGCTACCGCCTCGATACAATTGCTCTCGGTGCTCACGGTCCTTTTCCTCCGTGCGGTCGGCCACGAACTGCAGTATTTGCACCGACATACATGCACAATTCGTAGTTTATTTAATCGGCACAGATGAGCAACTATGGAACAGCGACGAACTACCATAGTCTACCATAGTCACTATCTCGCAGACGCGCATGTGATATTTTTGCATCAGTCAATGCGATCGGGGCATAACGGGAGCAAAGTGGGTCTAAAAGAAAAACTCATTGGCCTTCATAAGCCAATAGCAGGCGACACAGTTTAGAGGAAAGGGAATGACAGGGGAGGAAGGGCAGGGAGAAGGTCGGGGAAGAATCAGGGAATTTATTAATAATATACTATATAATATATAGTTATGGATAGGAGATGAATTCAGATTAAATTTCTCACAATGGAACAGGAGATGGTTAATTGTTTGGAGATTCTCATAGGAACAAACCGGTGACTATATTTGGATTCTATGAAGGCTCTCATTAATATTTATGATTCGATCTTAGGTTAACAAGGATTATTTTTTTTTTAACAGAGCGACTTTATGAAACCACGTTTTTTTGGAACTAGTATAAAAGTGTTCATAATAAAGGTACTTTTGCATGAATCATGGCCCTGTAGCAGAGATGGCATATCCTTGGCATGGGGATATATGGACGACTTCGTGCCTAATCTTAAAAAAATAAATACGTCTTGGTAATATTTGAATACTTCTGCGGTAATATTTGTCCTGCAAATTTAATATGAACTATTCTAGATGGAACATATTCGATTTTATCACCTTTAGCACTCCTTCGATTTAATCTCTGGACGTTTATTATTTTGGCCTTTGGTGATTCCACAGCTTCCTTAAGTATATCTAATTCAAGTTACTGAGGGACATCTTGTATTATCCCGGTTTTAAGAACCTTGAAAGCTTTTAGGTTGTGCTTTGCGAAAGTAGAATTCTCCACGAGACGATTGACTCCCATGGCAGTTTTAACTGCTACTAGTATTTTTCCATTACCAATTTTCTTAATTTCGAGAATATCGGGTATAGCGGTTTTAACTATTATTCTGCTGATAAGTGTGGAATGTATATGTTATCTCGACTATTAGAATAGACATACACTACATACGGGCCAATATCACGTGTGTCATAGCGCGACGTAATTCTGTTACTCATATTCTGACTTGACTGATTTGTATTGTCGTCTACATTAGAACTTGCCTGCATGTGTGACGTCATGCTGGAATTCTTTACGTTTGTGCACTTTTTGGCGGGCGATTCTTGCACGCTTTGAATAGAGCTCCTCTGCAAAGTTTCGTAGCGGCCGTTTTTTAGCTTACCTCTGTTGTTCATCCATTGGGGTTGTATTCTTAAAGATCATGGGGACGACTGCGTTAGCTAGACTTCCAAAATTTTCGAGGTTTGTATTCCTGTTAGCACTTTCTAACGCAATCGTTACACTAGATGCGACTTTGTTTAGATGAAAGTTCGTCGTCACAATTCACTCGCTTCCTTGTACATATATTTTCCAGCAATAATTTTTGTGAAACTTGCTCACTATGCGGGGAGATGGGAAATGAAATTGTACTGGTGTGCTATTCCTATGTGTGCTACTTGCCTTGCTAACAACGAGAACAATGAGCTAAAGTACAAAGATGCCCTCAAAAGGGTAGATGGACAAAATTACACAACAAATTACAAAATTATAAACTCTCGCGGCAGACTTGCTCGACAATATTGGGACTAGAGGGACAGACACGTCTGCACCTTACCGCTGCTGTGACAAGACTCCCCGCTTCAAAACAAATTATCGAAGTGCTGTGGATAATGAGAATGTAAACGCTTGGGGCGGCGTAGCTAATCAACTGCAATCGAGTATTCCCCTGTTACAGTCGAACGACATGCTTGACTGTAGTTGGTTCTTACATTTTGATCTGGTTTAAACTAGGCCACCCTCGGTGGAAACTAGGCCAGTGGCTACGTTCAGCAAGCGCAATAATTGTACAACGATTCACTGAAAAGCTGCTGAATGCGCTGTCATCAATATCCGATACTCAACGTATTTACTGAGCAGACGCCATTTTTTCCATCAAATTTTAAGATCGCTATCTAAGCTTGACACGTTGTGAAACGTAAGAAACATAAGCTAAATAGATACGCTTTTTCTATTCGAGGAGTTTATAATCTCCTAATCATCATTTGCATTGTCGATAGCAATGAATATCAAATGTAATAAATTCATCAAACAAATAGTGCGACAGAATTAACGTAACTTGACGAATTAGCCAAAATAAATTAACCTGACGAATTAGTCAGGGAGCATAAACTCTTGCATAACATATAATGCATAAGAAAATGAACCAATCAAAGTCCTTTATTTCCTTCTTTTCCATAAAATAAAGAACTCTGATTAGTTTTTATGCTTCATGCAAGAGTTTGCATTTTATGCAAGAGTTTGTGCTCCTCTTCAATTCTTCAACCTAAATGAATCTATCCCCTTAATCGGAGAGCACAGAGTCTTGCATAACGCATAACACATAAAGCATAAGAAATTCAACCAATCAAAGTTCTTTATTTCATGGAAAGGAAGGAAACGGAGAACTTTAATTAGTTTATTTTCTTATGCATTACGTGTTATGCATTATGCAAGAGTCTGTGTTTCTCGCTTTAGGCAGAGAGTATACTTAGGGACTCCGCACAATAAAAGGAACAGAGAATAGAAAATAAGAATTTCAATCTATCAGAAACTGTGTATTCTACAATACATGATTTCCTTTTATTGTGTGAAGTCCTTTACATATCGCATAACACGTAATAAGAAATTGAATCAATCAAAGTCCTTCGTTTTCTTCCTTTCCAAAAAAAGAACTATGATTGCTTGAATTTTTTTTTATGCTTTATGTGTTATACGTTACGCAAGAGTCTGTGTTCCCCGCTTTAGAGCATATAAAGGGTCTTTCAATAAGGACGTTCGATTTTTAAATGTAAATAAAACAAGTTGTGTGTGAGATATCCACTCAATTTTTTTTTATTTGAAAGAATATTTTATGGCATTAAGTATGGAACATAACGTCGCTCAAATGTCCGCCGCGGCTTCGCTTGGTGACACGTATTCAGGCGGTCCAATTTTCGATTTTCTCGCATAAATCTGGCTGAATTTGCTGGATGGCGTTTGTTATGTTGACTTTGAGAGCATCAATTATTTGCAGTTTATTCGTATAGACCTGCGATTTAAGATAGCCCCAAAGGAAGAAGTCTAAAGGCACGATCTCGGTGGCCAGTTCACGTGATAATCATGCCCTCAAATCGCTCGTGCAATATGTCCATCGTAGCATGCGTGTATGGCACGTAGCGCCATCCTGTTGGAACCACATGTTATCGGTATCCATATCATCCATTTTAAGAAGTTGCTTATCATCGATTTGTAGCGCTCGCTGTTGACGGTTATGGCAACACCCGCTTCGTTTTGGAAGAAGTACGGACCAGACCAAAATCCGCACTAAACAGTGACTTTCTCGGGATGCATTTGGAGCTGGTATATCGCGTGGATTGGTATCGTCCCAAATTCGACAATTTTGCTTGTTCACCTATCCATTCATCCAAAAATGGGCCTCATCGCTAAAGATGATTTGTTTGGCGAAATTTGGGTTAACTTCCAATTGTTCCAGAACCCAATCAGCGAACACACGGCGTTATCTATAGTCGTTTAACTTAAGTTTCT